GGGTACATTTTGCCGACGATTCAGCGGCAACTCTTGAAACAACCATGACGAAACCAATGTCGACAGAAGACACAGAAAATGCGACAGTAAACCCTGCGAAGACGGGGGCAAATTCACTCAGTGTGGTTCCAGATGCAAGTGACGTTGACCCAGCAGCGATACAATCAGAGCGACGACGGAGAATTGCTATCGCCCAAGACGAAGAGCTAAAATGGCTCAATCTGAAAACGGTTTTACGAGGAAACTCCGACAAGCTCAAATATAGAGCTGCCCGTGATGCATGGAAGATTACAGAACGTTTCCTCTTGACTGACGACAATGTGCTGTATTATATGAACTGGACTCCGCGGAACCAACAAGACAACCAAGAAGAACTGAGACTGCGACTGGTAGTTTCAACTACGATGATTCAAGAGGTTCTTCAAAACAACCATGACTCATTGGAAGGTGGACATCAAGGCGTAGTGAGGACATATCAACGAGTGAAGCAAGATTATTGGTTTGGCCTTTACGCAAGCGTTGAAAAACACGTGAAGTCGTGTCCGAATTGTAGTTCAAGTAAGAGCAAACCACAGTTGAGAGGGTACTCTCCCGGCAACATTCTCGCCGAACGACCATTCCAGATTGTCTCGATGGACTTCGTGATCCCACTGCCGAAATCTCGGCGAGGCAACACGGCGCTACTGCTATTCCAGTGTGCTTTCACTGGATTTGTCATCGCTAAACCAATGTCGCACACTCCAGCATTCAAAGTCGCACAAGTATTTGAAGAATGCATTTACCGACGGTTCGGAGCACCGTCGTTAATAAGGCATGATAGAGATCCCCGCTTTATGAGCGAAGTATTTCAAGCGTTTGCCGAGTTGATGCGGTCAAGATCGAGAGCAACTCTGCGTTGTCGGCCACAGGCTAACGGGCAGCAAGAAAGATCAGTTAAGACGGTGATGCAGTCCGTAAAAGTCTATGCCGAAGACCCACTTCAGCAAGACTGGGACGAGATCGCAGAGCATCTAGTCCTAGTCTTCGCCATCAACAACACAATGGACACCACCAGGAAGGAAACACCTTTCTACTTAGTTCACGGATGGGATGCTAGCTCAACAATGAAAGCGATAACGACGTCTCTTAGATGCGGGACTCCAAAACAGTCCGAGGCCTTAGCATGGCGACAAGAAGTCAACCGTCAACAGGAAGTTGCGTGGCAAATGGCCCAAGAGTATCAGCATACCCAGAAGTCACGAAGAATGAGACTTCCCAATAACGCACTGAGTAAAATGGAGAAAGCATCATTGCAAAATGAGGAAGCAGAAGACTCGACACTCCAATATAGCGAGGACTCAGCCACCAAATTAAAAGCGACCAAGAAAAAGTTGTTCGAAGAAGGAAGTCGAGCGTGGCTCTACATGGAGATAGTCAAACCAGGACTCACGAAGAAGCTCGCCCATCGGTGGCACGGACCATATCGTATCAAGAAGAAATTTGATGATTTTGCGTTCGAATTGAAGCTCCCAGACAAGAGTGGCTACCGGTTCTATCCAGTAGTACACATCTAAAGGCTAAAACCCGCAAACGAATTCTCTAGTCGACCTACGACCCTACTCGCGCCTGAGATAGCTGAAAAACTCACGAATGGATTTTAATGAGGCGCTCTTTCCCGAAGATTCATGGAAACTAGACTCCATTGCGGGAGAATATGAAGTAGAGGCCATCCTGGATGACCGAAGACCACTTCAAACCGGTACCGAAAAGTCGGTGAGAGAATTCAAAGTTACGTGGGTTGGGTATAATGATCCAACATGGGAACCAACATCACACCTCTCCTGCGGCGGACTGCTTTACGACTACCTGCGGCGGAAAAAGAGCGAACACCGCTTCCAGATGGTTCAAGTGGCGGACGAAAACTAG